TATGCCCAATGCAGGTTTATCACAAGATGATCTTGAATGTGGCATTTATCTTCAATTGGATCAGTTTCTTAATGGCTCTCTTATAGATCTGTGCTTAACAAAGATTAGAAACCCTGACTATTTGTGAGAAAATATGGCAAGAACAGAACGTATGGCTGATGAATACCGTCGATTTTCATTTGACCTCAAGAAGGAGAAAAATTGTTTTAAATTTTTTTAAATGCCTGCTGAAGAGATTTTACCTGCTTTCTACTTATAACTTTTATACGGAAAAAAATGAGATATTTTGTGAATTAGAATAGAATAGAATTATTTGCTTTTCTGCTCTTTTGCATTCTGATAGTCATTTTAGATTAATTTTAAAACTGAAAGTCTACAAAGACAAGTCAATTTATCATTGCCGAGACATTTCAGAAGCTTTTTGGGCAGTCACAGTGGATTAGGCAAAATACCATCTTTACAGAGACTTGTTCTGTGCACAAGGATGCACTTCAGAGCATGACATTTAGGTCATGTAGCTGGATGTACTTCATATAAGTCACTACCATGGGCGTGTTGGCTCAGCAGCTAGATTGGAGGAGAGACATTAAAGCTAAGAGAGGAAAAACAGATGCGTTTAATCTGCAAGTTAATTCTTTATTAATTTACATTCTTAAAAATGGATTGCAGGAGGTATTATCTATGAAAAAAAATATCCAATGTAAGCTTGTATATGAGATGATTGTTATAATAGCCATTTATCATTGTTCTAAAATCATATTAAAGTCCAACCACCACCATCCATACACATGCACGCTGTTCCAACAAATCTAGACAAATCATTTTGCTTTCTAAAGAGTGCGGCAGTTAACTGGATCACCCATGTTGAACAAACATTACCAATTATTTATCTATTGAATTTCCTCTGGGCAAAAAGGATGTGTGAGAGCTAGTTCTTGAACTGATAAGAAGTCTAGTAACTGTTTCCAAAACAACAAAAGAGAAACGCCTCTATATAGAAAGAGAATAAGGGGAGGGGGGGGGACTCACATTTTACTAACTTAGACTTCTCATTTCAAAGTAGGGAACTGAGGTTTGGTTTAATCCCTTTGATAAATCTTATTAATCAGAGTACTAAGATATTTGTTCTTGGAATTAACTACTTCCAATCAAAGCTGCTACCAGAAACCTGACAGAAGGATAGAAACAGAATAAATCGTCTTTATTGTCTAGTTAAATATCATTCAAGTTTAGGGTCATTGAGAAAGCTGATGGAGCTGCTAAGCAATTTTGATTTATTCTCCTAGGATAAGCAAGAGCCATCATCTCTTAAGAAGCTGTTTTAAGTCTGACTCCTGTTTCAAAGGGAAGGGAAAGAATCAAGAGATATAACAATATAGTAAGGCAAAACATTAATCTCTGCATATATTAAATTAAAGTCAAGATTTTGAAGCCAATAATGTAACAGAATCAATTTGAGATAGTGGTTAAGATATCAAGCTAAAATATTGAATGGAAGACATTGAATTCTAGTCCTGCTTTAGGTGCAAAGCCAGATGGGTGAGTTTGGGCCTATTTGCACAGTAACATTTTGTGATACAGCTGCTAAATTGACTTGGCAACAGTTTATTTCACTGGACACAGAGAAGATTTTAAATATGGTTCAGTTTAAATTTCTAAATTATGTCTTAGTTAAATATGGGTTTCCTCTCATGTTTATAAATTGGATCAAAATGTATTCCAGGCATTCTTTTGGAATTATTTTATAACATTCATTATAAATGTGATTGTTATAAATGTAATAATTAGTATTATTACAAATTAACTATTTTTACCCATTAATATGCTCTGAAGAGCGTGTTATGAATGTCCTTTATATTCCTGTCATGTTTAATTTGATTTTGTAACTCTTAGTGTATTTTATCACAGTTGATAAGATTTTGGGGTATTAAGATGAGAGGAGTGGAATAGGAATTATTATTGTAAGCTAACAATGTTTTATGTATTATCAATAATTACCTGTGGGTTTTTTTTATCATAGTTTATGGATATAAAACCACAGTTTGATATCAGATTGTTTTTAAAGTTGGCAACATATTACAAGGGGCTATGAGAATAACCTTGAGGAACGGGAAGAAGAGCTACAACCAAGACAATGGCCAGATAAGAGAAATCTGAATCCAAAACTGGAATGTAATTTGAGAAAGTATCTCAGTCATGAGCCTCCCTAATTCTCTTGATTGTAAAAGGCAGGGAGAGGGAAAGTGCATTCAGACCTCCAAGGTTCTGTTATTAGGGGTGCCGGGGCCTGATAGTTAAGATGCTGAACTTGTCAGTTGAAAAGTTGGCAGTTCGAGACCCAAGTATCATGTGATGTGTGAGCCCAAGCTCTTGCCAACCTGGCAGTTCAAAAGCATGCAAATACAAGTAGATAAGTAGGTACCACTTCAGTGGGAAAGTAGCAATGTTCTGTGCATCTTGGCATGCCAGCCATATAACCATGGAAGCGTCTTTGGAGAATGCTGGTTCCCTTGGCTAGGAAACAGAGATAAGCACCACCCCCTAAAGTCAGCCACGACTGGACAGGGGAAACCTTTACCTTTACTCTTATAATAAAAGTAGTGTTAGCATTCACAAACTTCAGTTTCTTGGTCTGGATTACTTTAAAGGGCTGATACATACGTGGAAGGAATAAAATGAAGAGTTGATGACATAACTGAGAAATAGAAAGATATTTTTTCTTGACAGTAATGACTAGAAGATTAGTTATAGCATATTGATTGGAGTGGGTTGGCTTGGAACAGAGTGGAAGATGAGTGAGAAATACCCCCCAAAAGCAGATGGATGCATTGAGGTTTAAAAGAACAAATGGGGAAAATCATCTAATTGGCAGTGAGCCAGTGGTAGTTCGTGGTTGCCTCAATGCAGAAAGCTTGAGGATATTAGAGGCTGATACTGGCTGCAGAGGAGCTGCTGGGGATTGTGCTGAAACCTATTCTTGTAATGCATTGTCTTGGCAGGAGATCTTTTACAACAAAAACAGAGTCTGAGCTCAAATGAAAGAAGACTCAATGGCCTGAACTGCTGCAACTGCAACCCAGAACAATGACAAAGACTTGTAAAACAGCAGTTAGAAAACAAGATACCCCCCTTGCATAGTTATTTAAAGACAAATATTTAGTCAGAAACAGAGGAATATCAAGCCTTGAATATAATAAACCAAGAGAGGTTTGAGACAGAAGAAGATAGAACATAGAATAATAATAATATGGAGAAACCTTAGAGGTCTCCTAGTCTAACTCCCTGCGCATGGCAGGAAACCGTATACCATTCCAGACATATGGCTGTCCAGTCTCTGAAAGCCTTCAATAATGAAGCACCCAGAAATTCCAGGGGCAAGTTGTTCCATTGAGTAATTGTTCTTGCTGTTGGAAATGTTTCCTTAATTCTAGTTTGGATCCCTGTTTAATGATCTTTCATTCGTTACTTCTTGTCTTGCCCTCAGGTGCTTTGGAGAATGAATTGAGAGCTGTCTTCTTTGTGACAGCACCTCAAGTGCTGGAAGACTGCTAGCATGTCACTCCTAGCCCTTCTCTTTTTTAAGATTAGATGTACCTAGTTCCTTTAGCTGTTCATCTTATGTTTTAGCTTCAAGACCTCTTATCATCTTTGCTGTTCTTCTCTTCATACTTTCTGGGTCTCAACCTCTTTTTTTGTTGGTAACCAGAATTGGGTGCAGTATTTCTTTAGAGATAAAGTGGCAGAATTGTTGTGAAGAGTTTACAAAATCTGGAGAATAAAACCATCCAAAATTTATTTGGATGCCAGTTGCACAAGTCTGGTTCAGGAGACAGAGGTCTAATCTTATATGAGTTTATCCGAGATTGGTTTGAAGTTGTGGATCCTGAGGAAGTGGACAGGATTCTCTGTGTTCTTCTTGCAGCCAGCTTTGAATTGGGGCTTTGCTCTACTTGGCTAGTGAAAAGCTGCCAGGAGTTATAGAAGATTGAGCTTGGGAGTGGTGAATACATCCTTGAAATAGGGGCATTTATTTCATTCATTGGAAGAGGTGGGAGTGTGTCATTTTCTCAAGAAGCTGTTGCTCAGTTGTCTTCCTGTTTTTGACAAACTCAGGGTAATTGGATTAGATTAAGGAAACAATAAATATGCAGATTTGAATCCGAACAAACTTGGAAACTATGGGGAAAATAATGGGAAATTTCCTATATTTATCTATTAAATTTTCCACCCATCTTACCTAGATTACTCTGGACTGTTTACAATAAAAACATACAGTAGTATAAAAAAAAGATAAAAATACAATTAAGAACAAAGTTAAAATGAAGATGTTAGAAAGTTAGAAAGGCTGAGGAAACACACTCAAGCCACCATCCACTCCCAGAGTTGTATAGCCCTTTTAGACCCCCAGAAAACCAGAAATACAGAAGAGTAGGGACCTGGCTCATCTCTGGGAGTAAGATTTCCAAAGGGTGAGAGCAAGGGGAGAGAAGGCTTTCTTCTTCGATCACACCAGTCAAAATACCTTAACCGATCGGATCCACAACGTACCTAACCTACCTGACAGGTTGGATAGATAAGTCAATGAAATAGGGATGAGATGATTGTTTGGTAACCTGGGGCCATGTCATGAAGGGCTTTAAAGATAATAATCAACACTTTGAATTGGACCCAGAAGCAAATTGGCACCCAATGCACAGATCTTACATGCAGAACCCTAGGGGTACGCAAATCTGCTCATGCCACAGCATTCTGCATCAGTTGTAGCTTCCAGATACTCTTGAAGGGTAGCGCCATGTAAAGCATATTGCAGTAAGTCTATAAGTCCATGACCAGGGCATGACTAACTGAAATATTTATAGTGAGTTAATTAAGGAGGAGTTTCTTTAAATGATTTAAAATACTTCCACCCCAATTGCGCTAATTTGCCATTTATGAAACAAGTTGCCAGTTGGCTCACTCTCTATCAATTTAGGCTTACACTTTTTCCATTCCTTTCCCAGCCTCCCCACAATCTCTCTGGGATTTTGTAGAAGAAGAAGCTGCAGAACCCAGGAGAGGAGTCAAAAGAGGAATCAATCTAGAGCAGGGGTGTCAAACTCGCAACGTCACATGATGTGTCACAAGGTATCGCAACGTTTTTTTCCATTGCCAGCAATGGGGTGGCCGTGGTTTTGCTATGATGCATCCGGCCCGCGGGCTGACAGTTTGACACCCCTGGTCTGGAGTCCCTAGGCTATAGACCAGTGGTTCTCAACCTGTGGGTCGGGACCCCATTTGGGGTCAAATGACCATTTCACGGGGGTCGCCAAACCATGCTGTCCGCCATTTTTTTCCCTTTTCTCTAGCTGTCCTACTCCCTCTTATTGGTGGCCACACCCATTTGGGGGTCACCACAACATGGGGAACGGTATTATGGGGTCACAGCATTAGAAAGGTTGAGAATCACTGCTATAGACAAAGGCACAAATGGACCCAGTTGAATTCCACTGACCCTTATCTAACGTCAAGATAGTGTTAAGTATTTGTTGAGTAGAATCTTATGCGTAGGCATAATTAGGGAAGGTCACACATGATCCTGTACAATGCAAAATGCCAGTCATCCATTTAAAGCTCTACATGGTTCAAGCCTAGATTCTTACCAACCAGCTCTGGGTTAATTCTACCTATCTGGTAAGAACTGGGAGAGATTTGCTAAGGGTCCCTTCTTGAAGAGAAGAGTGCTGTGGAAATGCCATCTACAGAGACTCTGTAATTGGGCCTTCACAATTATGGCTGTGCTTTTGTAAGACAACCAGCCCCTGAAGACCAGGACCATTCCAATACCTGAGTCATCTTACCCTTATTTGATTTGCAAAGAACTTTGAAGACATTTGGAAGCAATGAAGACATTTCATAATTGGAGACCCTTCATTTGTGCATTATGTGAATTAACCTGTCTCATAGGGAAGCATGGTTTACTAAATAAAAGCAGATATTTTCTTAATTAGAATCAATCTAATATACTTCCAACAGGATTGAAGGTTTCTTTGGAGATATATGAAGACTGAAGCTTTTCATATTGTTTGAATTCTTTTAAATACCTTAGAATAATTATCCCAAGGAATATTCCCTGTTTAAAGAGATATTTCAAAAAGTTTATCTCAGAATAATATTGATTTTAATAGATGGTTAAATGCTGTGGGAAAGAATAAGAGTTATTAATATGAATGTCACTCCAGTATTGCTGCAAATTACATGGATTCCTATATTAATATCATTTTTAACATATAGATAAAATACTGAGAACATTTTTTAATAGAATAGGCAGACTCAAGGGTTTTCTTTATCAAAAATAACAACTTCCTTATAAGACTATTTTAACTTTGCAGATTTTCACTTTTATTATTGGATTTATATTTGAACTTTGCTTCTTTGTGGAATAAAAAATGTTTTTTTTTCAAGACCTTAAAAGCACAGTTATAAATACTGTACAACTGGATTATAATAGGCTATCATAATTCTTTCTTTTTCAGGGCATACTTAGAAGAATCAGGAGCACATCTGTTTCCTTGTTGTAAATGCATTTTGTTACGTAAAGTAGATTTTGGAAGAAATCAAAAATGAGTGAGTCATTTTGCCCTATTCCTAGCAAAGCCAAAATTCATGTCTTGGAATTAGACTTTCTCCAAAATCTTGTGATTCTCCCCATTAAATCTAGGCAATTGTAAAAAGTAGTTGTGCTATCGCCTTACTTTACAGAACTAACTCAACTTGTAATTGGGTAATTGAATTTAGCTTGCCTATAGTCTTCCTGATGGTTTAAACATGGTATTCTTGCTTCCTGAAATGGGATAGTTGCTAAACAACCTCAGTGTTTCATCTAAAGCTGTTACTGCATTGGGTGAGACTAGAGTAATCTTCCCATTGTTACTTTGCTCTATCTAATATATCCAGCTGCTTTGAGGGTGCTGTTGTTTTTCAAACTTGAGCTTTATAAAGTAGCATCTCATAGTAAATAATGTGCCTGACTCCTTGTGCTGCAGATTGTGGGAGTGTGAAATGTTGTATGTCAGCAGGAAAAGAAAAACAAAACCAAGGGTGGCAAAGAGGAATTTGGCCAGCTTGAGCTTCCTATGACTAATAAAGTCTGGAGGAAGCACAGCTTGAATCCAGAGTAGAACTCTTAATTTGAAGGGAGGCACGGAAAATACACTGCAACAAACAGTACATCTATTCCTAACATGATTTGCAAGCAACTTATTTAAAAATTGCTTGTTTTGGAAGGGATACTTGCAAAGAGCACATCCCTGATAATCAGTTCTTGCAAACACACTTCAGTTGCTGATAAACTGTTAAATTTCCTAAGCAAATAAACACATTTACAATTAATTTGGATCAAATGATAAAAAAACTATTAAGGCAATTAGAATCAAAGAGGATCTCAATTTATTGTTACTTTCCTTTTGGCTTCTTTTTCCTCAAAAAACCCCACCCATTCCCCCATTCTGAATATGGAAAGTCATGCAGATAATGCTGATAAAGATGCCCTACAAATAGAATTAGGGAGGAAATTGACGAAATTCTCTTGATCTTTACATCATTATGAAGCTTTTAAACATAATGCCAGTTTCCTTGTTGAAAAACTGAAATTCCCCTCTACTACTTAAGAAAGTGATATGGAAACAGACAAGTGATAATAAGAAAGAAGACTTTTTTGGATGATTATGGCTGATGGAGAAAGTTGAAAGCTGAAAAAAAACATGCTTGGTGAGGATTTGATTCCTTTGACAGATAATAGCATTGTGCTTTTATTCCTTTACATCATTTTACTGATGTAAAGCCTATACTCCTTCCCTTTTCTTTCTTTCTTTTCTTCTCCTTGCCCCACCAAGGCAAGAAATGACTTTCTTTTAAGTTAGCAATGAACAATTTTGCTGAGCAATACTGATACTTAATCAGTGTTTGGTAGTAATGGGTGGTGGTACTTCTTTTGTGAAGGTTACATTAATTTTCCGAGGCTGTAATGATCTTTTTCTTTTCTTGGCCAGCCATACTATGAAGCCGTTTCTTTAATGGATGTTCACATCTAACCCTTAACAGCTGGAAGAAAAATAGTTTTGCTAATAGCCAATGCAAGATTAGGCTTTGCATCCAAAGTAGATCTGAAAAATTAAGCAGTGGAAGAAAGCATTAGACCCTTAATAGCACCAAGCTTATCATAAACAGCTGTATATTTTTGGATCAGATTAAAGCATGAGTTCGACTATGTTTAGGTAATATTTTTTTAAAAATCAAAATTTAAAACCAGAAATTCATCCTCATTCTCTATCTCTAAAGTTATTAATGTTCTGCTTGGGAACACACAACAAATGTTTGACAAAAGGAACCATGTTTGCATGGAAAATAAGACTTTTTTTATGTTACCTTGAAGTTTAGCTATTTAGAATATACTAAACGACTGGTGACACATCCTTTCAGTGATATTTCCTTCTCTCCACAGAGTAACAAAATGATCATAAGTGGATTGCTATTGTTTTGGTTTTGACATTAGACAACTTCATTTTATTAAAGAAGATGCATAGCAAGACAAATGTGGATGCTTTTTTCATTTAACAGAGAACACTTTTGATGACACCATTTGTGGTTGATCTGCCATTCTTTAGAACCCTTTTACTTCTTTTTCCTTGGCTTAAAGCATCATACAACTGATTGTGCAAGAATGTCCGTTTCTGCAGATAAATCAGCAACTCCATGACTTGTCCTGCTGCTTTATGTACAATGAGAGCAAAGTACGTATTGGGAAATGTGTTCGCTCAAAAGGGACATTTTCATTTTCTGATCAATTGAGTGTAATTTTTGGACTTAGGATGTCATTTTTCAACTCTTTATTGTTTTATCTTTGCTACAATGAGATTTTTGGGCAGTTTTTCCATGATCACCCATGTTCCACTGTGAAGCTTTGGAAGATACAAGTTCCTCAAAAAAAAAAAAAAAAGATGGGCTATTATTCTATCTTCAATTCCAGTTTATCTGGTGGCAATCCAGAGTTCAAGTGAATCAAGGAATTCTGTAGTGTTCTGAATTGTGTTATTTCCCTCACTGATTGCACTGAAGGAGCAATATTCTTTCATCATTCCAGGGAAGCATCTAATGCAATGGAATAGATTTTTTCATCATTTCATTGAGGGAAACCAAGATAGACTTATTTGAAAACAGGCAGGATTGTCAAGTGTTAGGTAGATGAAATCTATACATTCTTTAATAGTTCTTGCTATAGTTCTTATAGAACCATATCTATAAATAATTCTATTTCATCATTTTGATTTTTCTGAATGTTGCCTTCTCCAGCATGCAGTAAGACCCCAGAATATCTTTCTTCTTCCTCACTCAAAGTTTCTATATAAATATGATTTTTTTAATGCATGACTTTTCCACATCAGCATCATTTTATCTTTCTTATAAATGTCAGAAATAATTTCTGTGCTTACTTTGATGAAAACATTATGATTGGAATTTGTTCACAAATATAATATTAAAAAATTGCTACGTGAAAAATTATATTATCACTATGACAACACAGAAAATGGAAGATTCAGTTAGGAAAATGTCTGCAATACTTGCGCTTAAATTTATCCATTTTGGAAAACAATTTGTGTACAAATCTCCTGTTAACGTGAAAATTGAGTCAGTTTGGTTTAGTGGTTAAGGCACCAGGCTAGAAACTTGGAGACTGAGTTCTAGTCCCATGTTAGGCATGAAAGCCGGCTGAATGACTTTGAACCAATCACTCTATTCCAAGTCAACTCATTTCATAGGGTAGTTGTTGTAGGGAAAACAGGAGGTGGAAGGAGTATTAGGTATGTTTGCTGCCTTGACTTATTTATAAAAATAATAATGGTGAAATAAAAATAAAAAAACTTTAGTATCATAGTTGCAAGAGTCATGAAATCAAAAGCAATGGTTTTCTTTGACATCCTGAGAGTACGCATTGCCTTCTGTACTATAGGTAAAAAATATTTTGCATTGTGTTCCCTGCTTTCTGTGTTTGAATATGGAACTTTCTGCCTTGCATTGCAATATCCAGGAACAGCTTGACCATTAGAATAGAGTGAAGTGATTCTGCCTTTTGCTAGGGTGACGGGTACCGTATATAGACAGGAAGATGTTGGATTGCCTATACTACCTGTGCACAAAAGGACACTACTACCCCTCATCCTGCAACCCTCTTCCTAACCATGAAGAAAACCTCCTTCCAATCTGGTCAGCATTTATACATAAAATTGAATTCCATTGTGCCATTGTGTCCTTTGTCTCAGTCAACAAAATGCTTGGGATAATCCAAGTCACTTTCAAAATAGCTGTTCACCAGGTTCTCCATTTTCCGATCTGCCCTGATTACATCCTTATGAGTTATGTAGAATAAGGAAAGATGGTAGATCAAAGGGCCCAGTGGATTTTGTGACTGATTGAGGATTTGAATCTGAATTCCTTGACTTCTAGTCCAGCAGTCTGTTGACCAATCTGTATGCTGATTTTTCCTGCTGTTCTTCCTCCATACTGTTTTACCAGGTTTACTCAATAGAAAATGTTTTTGGATTTCCAAGGATATTTTTACAGCATTGCTGGTAGAAATAAAGCATTCTGACCAGTAAGATGGACTGGATGACCCTCTCAGCTGTCTGTCTTGTATTATTGCATGTATTCCTTGAAAACCAGTTTGTATGTTGTATGCACATATGCCTGAAATACAAGATGGACAGGAGGACTGCTTGTTCCTCCATAAATAATATATTAATTTTAAAAGGGTCAATGTAGTACATACTATAAATATTCCATTTATCTAAATGTAATAAGTCATATTGACTTAAAACATTCAGCCCTTAGGATAATGGTTGTGTTCCTGGTTTTTGGCCTCAACTTCAGTTCTCCCCCCCCCCCCATCCCTCTGTTTTTCAATGCTTCTTTCTGAGGTAGAAAAAAAATCCTTGAAAAACTTATTTTTGAGCTTGATGAGATAAAGGAGTAGTGAATCATTCCAGCCAGTTTAGAATTCATTTGCTGTTATGCTTCCAAAAACAGTTCCAATCTATAGACTGTCAAAATGAAAATGGATAGCTTGATTGCATGGTTAAATAACTTGGGTATTAGAAGTTTAAAGAGCTCTAATTTAGAAAGCATTGAGCATCTAGCTGGTTTCTGAAAAACCTTTGGAACATGCAAAGGGAGAAACACTTTGTTTTTAAAGCATTTATATAGGCAAGGCAAATTTTACATCTTTACATCCAAAGATAATAATTGAGTTTTTTTAATGTTTTACTAGCAGTAGCAAGAGAATGAAAATTCATTTATATTACAAACAACAGCATTAATGGCTCTTTCTTTGATCATCTTTAAGTAATAAACTTAAACCCAAATTGTCAAAGTGACTGTCTTAGGAGAATACCACATAGTCGTAGCTCTATTGTGTTGTGAATGTAACTTTTTTTAACTTAAGGGGTGATTTTTCAAAAGAAATTGGAAGTTCCTTTTAACTGTTTTCAGAATGAAGAACTATTGCTGTAATAAATGCTAACTTCCTATATGTCAGCTTGTTTTCTGGTATCTGCTGATGATAAATTTGAAAG